AGGAGAGGCAACAGCAAGCGACAGTCAGCTTGCATTGTGCCATAAAAAGGGAGGGAGACTTTTGTTCATCCAACAAGAAAAACAATAGTTTAGTACTATACAAGTATATAGTATATACTATAGATGTAATTTTTTACTTGCGTCTTTGTTTTTGTTTACGTTTGAAAAAGAAAAGCAAGATCTGTGTGAATGTAAATGCCTGTGTGTTGTTTGGGTGTGTGAATGTGTTTGTGTTGTGCGTATATTTCTTTGGGCTTCCCTGCAACAACTGCTGATGCTGCTTCTTTCTCTTGCTGTTGCTTTTGCTTGCCTCGTTGCAGGCTTTTGTGTTTGTTGAGCACTAAAAGTCTTTGTTGCAAGTGAATGCGCTACATTTGAGACGCCGTTGCAGTCGCAGCCGAAGCCGCAGCCTCAGTAGCTGCCACAGTCGCCGTCAACGTAGCCTCATTGCATTTCACATTTTCCTAGCTTGACTCAAAACAATTCAACAACATGCTGCTCTAGCTTTATTTTGTTATTATTGTTGTTGTTGTTGTTGTTGCTGTTGCTGCTGTTTCCGCCATTGTTGTAAGAGAAATGCAAGGAAGCCACAAAACTTGTTTTGCACGCGTTCGCGAAGGCGCACAAAAAAATCAGCAGCAGAAGCAGCATCCGAGCGAAAATGGTAAAAAAAAAGAAAGAAAAAGAAAACTGTAGAAGGCAGAGGTGGATAAGTGGGGCGATGGGACTTAGAAGAGTAAGGTGCGACAGTGGGCATATGAATTTGCTGCCAACGATAACAACAGCAACAACTACTACTGAGAATGACTTTGAACGCAAAAAACCAAGAGCTAAATCAGTCAACAAGCAGTAGTGTTTGTACACTTGAAAAAATAACGATTAAATACCAAGAAATATTTGGAGGCTGGCTAGATTGGATTGAATTAACATTTCAAACGTTAATTCGAATTTTATAGAGAAATATTGACCAGCCCCAAAGCAAAAAAGAACATTTTTTGCCTTAGTTAGGCATCTGGACATATTTAGGATCTAAATAGATCGGAGCCAAGCCAACCGGCATGCCTGCATAAATACCTAACGTCGGAAATCATTCATCAACAAACATTAAAATTAAAATTGGATTTAATTTACATTTCAAACGTTAATTTGAATTTTAGAGAGGATGTATGTTGAACAGCCCCAAAGCCAAAATGAAATTTTGTTGTCTAATGTAAAGAATCTGGATATCTGTATTATCTATATAGATCGCAACTAGCATGCCTGCATAAATACCTAACGTCATCAAAATTAAAATTCGAAAAAATATTCAAATTGGTAGAGAGAATTTCGGATAGCATTCTTGGCCAGTTTTTTCTTCAAGTGTAGGCATGTGAGTGTTGACAGCTAAAAGCGCCAAAGTGACTGAGTGCGTGTGGAGCATCAACGACCGCGTGGTATGTGCAACATCAAAAGTAATAGCAACAAAAACAACAACAACAGAAACGCGCGCCAAAGAGCAGCTAAAAAGATTTGCATTTTTTCCACGGCTGCGGCATTTTTGTTCGCTTCTGTTTTTGTTTTTGGCTTAGATGCCATCGTTTTCAGCTTATGCAAAGTGCATGTTGGCCATAGCTGTTGCTTTAGGTATGCGCTTGTCTATCTACACATACCTTTACTATGTACATATACTATATACATATGTATGTATATGTTTGCATATAAGTATGTGTATGAATATAATATGAACGCGCAGCTGACAAAAAAATAAAGTCAAACGCGATGGCCGCCATGAAAAGGCAAATCAATTATAAAATGGCCGAGACCACACGCAACCAACTACCCGCACAGACATTGGACCGAGTGGCTGCCTTAATGTTAAAGTGGCTAGCTATGTGTGTGTGTGTGTGTGTGCCTTCCCGCTTTCCTGTTTGTCACTCAACGTACATGCAACATGAACGACAGCTGATGCTGTTGCCATAATTGGCGCCAGCTTGTCTGCTACATATTACAAGCATTATAATACGAGTAATGCCATGAAAATCGGAAAGTCAATAAATGCAGTAACAATGCTGTATTTATTATTTATTTATTTATAGTTTGTTTGTTTTTTAGGCAATATTTTAACGCATTTTGTGACATTGGGAAATGGCTCAAGAGATCCTTGGAACTCAAGAACTCTGACTGTATAGGAACTTGGCTAGAAACTGATGATTGCAGACTGAAAGCAAGAATAATTCAGTTCCCAATAGTCTAGGTGTAAGGTGTAGTCCTCAGAATTATTGGCACGATACTCAAATAAAAGGTTTTAAATTAAGTTTGGTTGAAGGTTTAAGTGGAAGGACAGTTTATTTTTATTATTGATTGAACATTATTTTTTAAAAATATACTCGTACATTAAATGAAAACAGTTGGTTGGCGTCCACTGGCTACCTGGGAGGTGTAAGGATAGCAAGGGCGGGCATTCAGCTGGCAATCGACTGGTGTTTAAATGATTTGCTTTTTTCAAAATACAGTTTTCTGGTCGGTCTGTTAAGAGCTTTTGCATAATTAAATGGCATCACTAATAGTATTTATGTTGTGATGTTGAATTCATTTAGCTCAGTTTAAATAAGCGTATAGTTCGTCAAATATTGATTTTAAATATATCCTTTTTTTAATCATTGGTTAGTCAGTTGAATGCGCATTGTGTGTGAAATATTGATTTTGTTTTTGTTTAATTACATTTAATTTTTTATGATTGTTCAGTTGAATACGCATTGTGTTAACAATGTATGTATTTCATTCATTCAGTCTCAATGGGTATTTATTTATGTTGTTATTTGTTTATTAATTATGTTGCATTGAAATTTAATAGGCCGCATTTCCAAAGCAAGTGGCAATGTGCAATGGGCAATCGATCGGTGGATGCGATGGGCTGGGATGGGATGGGTTGAGCTGGGCTGGCACGTTTGTAGTTAATTGAAACCATTTTGTAAATCCTACGGCCAAAGCGAGCAACAACCGAAATCAGCCACGCGCAAACACACACACACACACACACACACACATGGCAGGAAGTAACAGGAGTACCTCAAATGCCCGTCGCCATCAACATATAGCCGTGCACATAAAATGTCTTGAGGCCTGGGCTGACTGTCTGTCTGCCCAACGAATTGGCGAAAGCATAACTGGCGGAGGCCGCAACCAGGAATGCTTATTGTACGCAGTTGCCAGTCACCACAACCAGTAGCTGCAGCAGCAGCAGCAGTAGCAGTGGCAGCAACATCAGCAGTTAGTAGCCGGCACAGCAGGCAGACTGGCAACCATTCTCGTAACATTTTTGGGCCAACAAACAATATGAAACTGATACTTGACAATGTCCAAGCTGAGCGGCAGTTACGAGAACGCCACTCCGTACCAAACTGAAAAGGTTGCAGGCGAAAAGCATATGTCGGCGGAGATAACGACTCGTCGAGGTGGCGCACAGTGGGCATAATTACTTATTCCAGTCGAAACAAATAATAATTGATAATTAATAATAATTGATAATTAATAATAATTGATAATTAATAATAATTGACTTCACCAATGGACAGGTTCGCAGATAAGATTAATTTTATTTTTGATATTTTGAGTTAATTAAACCAAATACATACTACTTAGCCTCTATATGTTTAATAATTTGGTTGAGCTGCCTAAATTAGAGTTGCAGAGGCGGATTAAATGTTGTTAAAAGAAATATTTTTTCATTTATATAACAACCCTCTAATACCATTCCATCTGATCGCATTTGACATAAGAAGCAGGGACTGTAATCATTATAAGTATTACTAAAAATAATGATTATTTTTTAATTCACTTAATTCGCTCACAATTTAATGATTAATTTTCAGTTTTGCTTTTAAAATGAACCAATAATCATTATTGATGAGTGAAACAATAAAACTTATAAAATAATGATTATGCTTTGAGTTTTATTTTTTTTCATCAAAAATAAAACTCAAGCTGTAATTTTGAAACTTCCTATTAAGTCCTAACATCGCTTCTGTTCGTTGAGTACTGCTTCCATCGCTTACTTTATTTAGACTGTTCAGAGTTTTAAGACATCCTGTGAACAACCGAAGTAAGAAAGCATCTCTTCCGCACAAAACTATGTTAAATACTGAAAAAATAACCGATATGGGAACGATAAATAAATAAATAAATAAGTTGAACGATCTGTATCTTGAAATTTACGTTTGAATGCCAGGTCGAAACCATTTGTCTATCAATTGATCTTTTATAGAATTTACGATTTCCTATCTTTCTGCCTGAATCCTTTATTTGTACTGATTGGATTTAATAAATACAGCGATGGTCTTCACAATCCTAAGTATTCTTTAAAATTCTTAACTTAAAATTAACTACTGTGCGGCGATGATGGCAAGGAACATTACCTGTGCGCTCAGTAACGACTGACTGAATGCTCTGCACGGCTCGTAACTACTCAACGATGTCTGGACACGCCCTTAAGTGTTGCGCGACAGACCTGTCATATACAAACGCACACACACCCACATACACACACCCACACACACACGCTCTGCAAAACGGCTCAAAGGCTTAACGTTGTTTCCAGCGCCGCGCCATCGCCTTCATGGTCATGTGTAGGCGTCTGTAGGTGTGGGACTTGACTCGCAAAAAACTTAAGAAGCAGGAAGCCCCATAAAAGTTATTGTTTTTCTACTTCATTATCTTTGGCAAACAAAAGCAGAGGCGAAGAGTAGAGTATTCAAAAAAAAAAAAGTGAAAAAGAAAGTGTTTTCGTTTATGGTTTCGTTTTACAGGACGCTTGGCTTCACTGCGACACATACTATGTACATAAGTAGTACGGGAGTTCACCCATATACGATTATGAACCATGTACATATGTATGTATATGAGTATACAGGTGTAGCCACCAACCACGGTAGCTGTCAGTTATTTTGAAGGACAAGTATAGTATAAAGCTCAACACTACTTCTGCCTTCTGCATATCTGCTAGGACTGACGAGTGTACTTACCCAGTGCACAACATTCTAAAATTTTCGTGCGTCCTTCGTTAACAATAGGGCCTGCTGATGAGGGATGTGTTATAAAACGTGGAGCTTGTAGTTGTTGCTGCTGTTGTCGTTGCTGTTGCTGCTGCTGTTGTTGTTGTTGGGGCGGTAGATGATGCTGTTGTAGCTGCGGAACAGCGTCTGTAATGAGAATAAAAAATTAAATTGATGATTAGCCAAATATCCATATGTGTATGTGTATGCTCAAAAAGCAGATAAAGGATCGTATGGATACAAATATAAAATGAAGCAAGTAAAAAAAAAAAAATTAACCTTGACCCGGGGTGGTTCAGTTAAGCATTCTGAACATATTAATAACTTGTTGGATTTATCTAAGTAGGCTTTGAACATTTTATTCAAAGCTATCAATTTAATTTCGTATTTATTACATGTATAGTTTGGACCCTGCCGGGAAAGCATCGCAATATTTTCCCTTTTTTTTAAATAAATTAATTTCGTATTTTGAATTATTCCTTTCTTTGGCAATACAAATGCTGGATGTTCGATTATTTATCACAAATTAATTATTAATAATGAGATTTGACATCGAGGGACTATTGCTTCCCCATGCACCTCCAGAGATGGCGCATATTTTTATTTATTGTCGCCACAATTTTGAGATTAAATTTTATGTACCCCATGCACCCTAAGGACATGCACCCTTGTTATTGCGACAAGATATTGTACCCAAAGTGTAAGAGCTGCACAACCCAGACTGCAGACTCCAAAAAGAATATATATTTTTGATCAGTATGACAAGACATCTGCCCGTCCATTTGAACGTATGAACGCAAGGATGTCAGAAAGCTAGAAAAACCAGAACCACTATCCAGATTCTCCAAAGTCCGAAAAAGGTTGCTTAAAAGCTGCTCTTAAGTCAAAACTGATTTATAAGTACCCTCTATAGCTAGAATTATAAAGACAATCTCGTCAAAAATGATGCTTGCTTCCAAAATAGTTATAAGTCTATGATGAATTTAAAGTACAATTATTCAAACAATTGCATTATCTGTTGTACATTTAATTGATATCTGATATGACTTATTGGCTGAATTTGTGTCAAATTTCATAAAACAATGGCTTTACATTTTGCGTGCAATTTTCCGCATTACCGAAAATGCTCACTTCTTTCATGTGTTAAAAGCATTTAGTACGAGCATACATAGTAAGGAGAAGGAGTCCATCCAGTTCTATAATAAATGAAAAATCGAATGAAACGAAATGTATATGTCGGCAATGACAACTACGTATAGTATTACATTTATTTATCAATAAAAATGCTCACATCTTTCATGTGTTAAAAGCATTTAGTACGGACATAGAAAGGAAAAAGATTCTATCCATTTAACCGACATTTAAATTTGCTGAACGTATTTTTTCATAATAAGAGTATCTAATGCACTAATTCTATAATAAATGAAAAATGGAAAGAATCGAAATGTATATGTCTGCAATGTAAACTAGCATATGTACTCGTATGTAGAGTTTGGTATTTATTTTGTTTGTTTTATTTGATATCTCGTTAAAGCAAAAACATGACAGCCAAATTTACAACAAGAACATCAATTACAAGGACAAGAACGTATTGTTGCAATTGCAAATTTGTGCATGATAAATTCATGTGGCAACAATAACAATTATAGCACCAGCAATAATATAAGCAACAACTACTGATATGTACAACAAATTGTTGCTAGTTGTCGCTGTTTCATTTCAATGAACGAACATTCTACATGAAAATATTGTAGTACATATATATATATTTATACTATAGTGTGTATGTTGATATGTGTGTGTTTCGCTGACCCGATTCTAGGATTATAAATTCATTTTCAACGCAAACACGCTCAAATATTTTCCACGTTTTTGGTTGAATAGTAGTGTGGTTGGGCGGGGGAGGGCATTGGGTTGGTGGGGAGAACTCTATATATTTTGGTGCATGGCATTTTTTTTTTTTTTTCCGTAACATGCAATATTGTGGCCAAGTGTTCAAATTGGGCGGCTTTTTAAAGAAAACTACGATGTAAATAAATAAATACTTGTAGTATTTGTATTGATATACAAATTCGGCTAGTCGGTTTTAAAAATAACTGCGAAACGTAACGTAATGCAACGTTTTGGACTTGTTTGTAATTGTTTAAAGATTTATAGAAAGCACCCATATCATACATTAAAGAAGCCAAATGGAAAGGAGAAAATTTCAAAATCTGGAGTTGTCTCACATACCACGCATATAAATGGCTACCCCATTCATATGCGAAAGTAATGAAAACTAACGTTCTATAAATTCTCACATGTAATCAATTTAGTATTTCTACTCTCTAAAATTAATTTCAAACTCAGTTCTTAAGGACAAACATGTACTAATAAGTTCTGCCCTTTTATATGTTCTATATCATTCCAATAAAAAACAAGATTAGAAAGAAGAAAGTTTGAAAGAAATCCGTATCAAAAGGGTAGGACGCATGGCTTTGTGCGGTTTCCATAGCTACGCCAAAATTTGTAATCGAAAGTTTCGAAAACAAACGTTCCTCATGTGAAATCAATTTATTTTCCCTACCCCTATATGGGAGTTGCTTTAAAATTGTAAACAACTAAATCACAAAGTGAATGAATGATTTTTTAATGCCCAAAATTATTCAATGAAGAAGTTAAATTTTGTGAAAGTTTCGAGTTTCTGCATCCGAAATGTTAAGAATGTTAAAAAAGGCTTTCGATAAACAGACTATTCATATATATTATTTGACATATTATATTTGAGGACGGTCGAAAAAGCGTTTTAGATGAACCACATCCAAGACGACGAAGAACATGAACTGATGAAAAACACGTCTAGCAAATTAAATTAAATGCTCAATGGATCAGTCAACACCAGTCAACACTAATTTAGTTCCGTGACTCGATTGTGGAGATTCGAACCGAAACGCAGACAGCACTGAGGGCCATATTAGAAACGTTGTTTTTTTCACTGCTTCGAAGATAGGAAGTGCGGGTAATATTTATTTACAGGAATACCTATAACCAGCGATACACACGCAATTACTACAAATACTCGTATGTATGTATGCAAAATAATTAAAAAAAATAAATAAACATGTATGCGAAAATGCATTCACAGTTTGGCCAAAAAGCTTAATTGCTAACATGCATGACTGAGTTTTGTGGGCAAGGTCGCAGAATCGCGATTTGTGCAATCAATTAATGCCACAACTAACAACAATATATGGTGTGGGGCAGGGGCTGAAATCTGCTATCAAGTCGGTCTTTGTCCGTGTTCTGTTGTCATGGCCACATCGTTGTGCGTGTGTGTGTGTGTGTGTGTGTGTATGGTGCGTGGTAACTAAGCATGAAATCGCGCCCTGGGCAGGGGAGACATTCGGGCAACAATAACAATTGCAGCAACAACCAAGCAACGAAGCAGTCAACTTCGCTCGACTAGCGTCAAGCAAAGCAAGCGTTAAATTGTTAAGAGGGGTTAGCAGGGGCAGGACAGGACAAGGCAAGAGTGGTTAAGTGGAGCGTGCGATGTGATCGTGAGCGAAAGGGTTTGAACTGGTAACTCTTAATATGTTATATTTAAGAACATTTCCGATGCTACCAATATGGGAGAGAAGGGTTGAAAGCATGGGCGATTACTTTGACCAATCGATATGAATTCGAAAGCTCGATTTACAAAGACATGTACATCGTTGGTAAATTGTTTGTTCATTTTTAAAGGTATATTTCACTTAAGATGGAATTACAATCCAAACTACTTCTTTATATATGGTTAGGAATTTGATTTGTTCCCACGTTTACTGCATAGCTGTGAATTGTTTATTTCATGAGTTTATTAAAGAAGTGGATTTGCAGTTACATGATATAGGAGGGTTTAAATCTTCTAATCGGTTTTAGAAACTAGACAGAATATCTCGGCTTATTACCGAACTAACTCATGACCTAGGGAGCCAGGACCTTTGCTTTATGCCGCTTGAAAATTATTCACTACGATAATTAATAATGTCATAACACATACTTCTAACTGTCCTTTTGTTTTATAACATTGACAAATTGTTCTCATTATAAATCGAACTTTGTAGTCTGAAGTCTGTTAAACTTTTATGAGAATAATTATGTTTTTAAAATACACCACTACTGTGTAGAGGAAGAGTTGAACATTATACATAGCTAGATTTGAAATATTTATAAACATTTTATTAATATTTTAAATAGGCACACACATTTAATTTCTGTACAAATATCAATTAGCAGAGGAATTGAAAATGTTTGCAATTTTTTGTGAACAAGCTAAGTGCGACCGTGAGCGTGATTTTGCCATCTTTAGGATAGCGGTGCTGTTTTGTTTCTGTGTTTGCTGCCCACGAGTTTTAAAACACGCGTAGTTATTATTCTTGTATATGTACATACTTGATGACAAGAAAGCATCTGAAATCAGGAAACACCAATTGCGACAGTATTAGTGGCAGTAACATCAGAAGCGGCAGTAGCCTCGTGTGGTGGTCTTGCGGTTTACGCATGCGTAGCGGTCTGCTGCATCCTCAATGGCTTCACAGCAACAACAACTCAACTGTCATTCGATAACGTAAATTATGACTGGCCAAGTCAAGGCACATATATGTATGTATATTCGTACATACATACATAGTACTGTATATGTACGAGCTCCTATAATTTCTACTTTCAGGCTTAATTAGAAAGGTTTTGCATGCCAATGTTGTTGTTGTTGTTGGCTAAAGGAAAACTGTGCTATCTATGCATTGAAGCTTTGAGCGGATACACACACATACACGCTTACACACGCACACATAAATCGTACGCCAAACAAAATGCATAAAATGCTCACAAGACGTTTATTACCAGAAAATGACATGGGCGGAGGGAGGGAGTGCGGTGCAAGCCGGCCGTATCGGTCCTGCCAGTGCATGTGGTTTGCTAAGGCTGTTTGTTTAAGACACACATTCACACACACACACACACACACACATATATATATACACACACATTAACAAGAATGCCAAAACGAAGCGAAACATGTGGCATGCTCACATTGGTCAACAAGCTGCATGAATGCCGGGCAGAAGAACAAAAGTCGAAACAGGAGCAAGCACAGCAGATACGGACATGGACTAGTTTGACTAGAG